TAGGGGGCCCGCGGCTTCCGGCGGCAGCGCCTGGGCCCCGCACCGTCGTGTGGCCCTCGCCGCAACCTAGGCGCGCACGCCCTTGGCCGCCGAGGGCATGGCCGCTGGTGGAGCGCGGTCGGGGCTGTTCGGGGCCAAGTTCCCCGGCGCCCCGGGGTTCGGTTCCGATGGGCACCGAGTTCTCCCACCAGATCCCACAAAATGGAGGACGACGTCTCCTCCCGCCGCAGCCATGGCGGAGGTGGGGGACCGTTCCCACGGGCGAGGCACGGTGGAGGCGCCTGCACGGCGGCCAGCGCGCCGGTCCCCTGCAGCCGCGGCCCGGCCCGCCCCCTCGGCCCGCCGCAGGCACTGCGGGGCTCGCCCGTCTCCCGGGCCTTTGGGGCCTGGACAGGGAGGACGCTGGGGCATCGAGGCCGCGTCTCTCCTCGGGGACCCCGAGTCGCGGGGGACCGCGGCGACCGTCTGGAGGCCAAGGCCCGGTGGCCCGATCCGGGCCCCGCGGGAAGCCTCGACGAAGATGCCCCGGCCCGAGGCCGAACGGCGATCGGCACCACGGGCCTCGCCACTCGGGCTCTGACCCCGGCGGACCCGGCGAGTGGGGGCGGGGCGGGGCGGGGGCACCGAGGGAGGGAGGGAGGGCGGGCTAAGCCCGAGGCTGGCGGCAGGGGGGAGGGAACAGCAGGCTCGAGGGCGTGGCCCGCGTTTGACGGACAGCCGCTCTGACTGCCTCGCCGAGGAGGGTCTTGAAAGAAAGCCGACGGAGCCAATGGACATGCCCGAGGCGTTCGGGGCCTCCTTCGCCAGCAGCCAATGAGCGTGCGGAGGGCGGGGCCTCCCCGGGCTCCGCCGCGCCGCCGCCTCCTCTCCCTCCTCCTCCCCAGCGCTAAAGCCGGGACTGGACCGAGCGGAGTTGTGCGTGTCGCCGAAGGGGGGTGGGCCGGGGGAGGGGAGCTTCGTTCCGCGGAGCTGCAGCCAGAACCGGGTGAGGCTTTTCCCCGCTGTCTTTCCTGTCGAGGGCCGCGGAGAGTGGGGGTGGCTGAGAGCGGCGCAGCCTCGGGAGGAGGAGGCGGAGGCGGGCGAGGGCAGCTGGTCGGTGTCGCCGCTGCTGCGTCGGGGCCTCGGGGTGCGCTGGGGGCCGCGCTCCTGTTCCGGCAGCTTCAGGTGCTGCCCGAGGGCTGAGGGAGCGCGGGCGCGGCCGGGTGGGCTGCGTGAGGCGGACGGCGGGGCGGGGGGCGCGGGGGACGCAGTGCGCGGGTGGCGGCTACCCGAGGTCGCGGGAGGTCTCGGGTGTTTTGTTTTCTGTACTGCGAGCGGGTGGGCGGGGCCCTCTGGCCCTCCCGCCTGGTGGCTGCACCCCCACCCGGTCTGCCCGACTGAGACCCCAAGTTTTCGGTGGTGAGGTGACCGCTTAAGGCCTGCGGCGTTTTCTTCTTTGCTCTTCTCCACCGCGCCGTGCAGCTTCTAGTCTTACGTGGGTTAATTTCTTATGGCTGACTTGGTGCCTGTCGCTGGCTACAGAGGCGTAGGAACCTTAAGTCCCAGCCAGTGCTTGCGCCAAATGGGACCCGTTATTGAACCGTTTTCTCCTTCTTGGTACTTTAGTGGAGGCGGTGACGCAGTGGGCTTTGGAGAAATAGGAATGAATCCCTTACTGGCTTTGAGGACCTATTTATCATTCTGCTACTCCTTATTCTGAATCTGGAAGGAGTAGATTGAGCTTGGTCTGCTGTAGTTTTTAATAATTGATTTTCTGTTTATTTGTGGTTAGGTTGCTAGAAAAGCTTGGGAATGAATTCACTTTGGTTAACTTCCTCCTCTAGTGTTCAGGGTTGATGCTACCTCCTCGCTATTGGTGCTAAAGGGTTTTTTGTTTTGTTTTGTTTTTTACTCTTATTCTAGGACCTTCAAGCCAGTCTGGTGAAGCATTTGGCAGAAATAAGGAAAGCATCTCCATTGTGAGTCATTTTGCGTAGCTTTGCTGTTTAAACTTACTAGGATAGACTGTGTTCTATATGAGGTTTGCTTTGCTATTCTGTAGAAAAGTTGCAGCTTGAGTGTTCTCTGCCGGGAAAGCTGAGCCTGTGGAATCTGGGGGAGACACACCTGTGGGTAGCACTAACACTGCTGTTTTCTAGCATTCCTAAACAGGACTAAGCCCCAATTCATTAAAATGCTGTGCACATAACGTTTTTGTCCTCCTTTCCAATAGATACTTCTTTCTGTTGTATTTTTTAAACTACTAGTAATTATTTAAAGTCAGTTTTAAAATAAATGCCTAAATAATTACTGAAAAATGTTTTAAGATTGAGGAAGAGCGAATTACAGGTTTTCCGGTTTTTGAAAGGTTTTATTTTTACATGCATAGGTGTTTTGCTGCCTGTATGTCTGTGCGCCACTTGGCTGCAGTGTTCAAGGAAACCAGAAGAGGGCAATGGATCCTTTGGAACTAGACAGCAGGTTGTGAGCTGCCCTGGAGATGTGGGGACTTAAACCCTGATCCCTTGGAAGAACAGCCAGTTCTCTTAACCACTGAGCCATCTCTCCAGCCTCTGTGATTTTTTATATAGTACTTCTTAGACATATCTTTTTCATTTTTAAAAAATACTTAAGAGTATGTGTTGTCTTTGTGTTCTTGAGGAAGCCAGAAGAAGGTATTGGATCGGCTGGAGCTGGAGTTACAGGTATTTGTGAGTGGGATCAGTTGGGCACCGGAATCAGAACTCTTTGTCCTCTGAAGGAGCAGTAAATGCTCTTCTTAACTGCTGAGCCATCTCTCCAGCCCCCCTCAGATGGACCCTTTTAAAGTTAGGACCCTGTCAGATTGTAGAATTCTCTGTCTAGCTTTTAAGAATGGAGATTGAACCGGGTGTAGTGGCGCAGGCCTTTAATCCTGGCACTCATGAGGCAGAGGCAGGAGGATCTATGAGTCTGATGGCAGCCTGTCTACAGATCAGGTTCCAGAACAGCCAGGGCTACACAGAAACCCTGTTGGGAAAGGGTGCTAGGGGAGTCGGGAAGGAGATGGGGGAGCTGGAGAGATGGCTCAGCAGTTAAAATCACCTGATAATCTTGCAGGGGCCTGGGTTTGAGTCCTGGCACTCAGCAGTCTCTAACTCCAGTTCTAGGGGATTTGATGCCTCTTCTGACCGCCTCAGACTCCTGCATACACAGTGAGCTGGCACCAGGCACACACACAAAATTAAATAAACATTTAGAAAACTCATACACTTTAAAACAGTGGTTTCTGCCAGGTTGTGGTGGCACATACCTTTAATCCTAGCATTTGGGAGGCAGAGGCAGGTGAATCTCAGAGATTCCAGCACAGCCAGGGCCACACAGAGAGACCCTGTCTCAAGAAAACCAAAAACAAAGAAACAGTGGTTTTGAAAGAGATTTGCCAAAGGTGGTGTGACCCACACATTGCCACTGCTTTTAAAAGTTCAAAGCCTGGGGCTAGAGAAATGGCTCAGCCATTAAGAACATTTGCACTTGAATCCTAGCACCCACATAGTGGTTTGCAGCCACCTTTGACCTATTGCAAGGAATCTGATGCCCTCTTCTGACCCTCAGGCACACTAGACATTCATGTGGTGTACATGCATGCAAGCAAAACACTCGGACATTGAATAACTCAAAATTTTTTTTAAGTTCAAAGTCTCTTTAAAATAGCCAACATCTCTTTAAAAATTGACAATCTGGTGGCTGAAGAGTTCCCGTAGTGGTTAAGAGTAGTAGTAGGTTTGGTGGCTAGTGAGATGACTTAGTGGTTAAGAACACTGGCTGCTCTTCCAGAGAACCTGAGTTCAATTCCCAGCAATCACATGACAGTTCACAACTCTCTGTAACTCCAGTTCTAGGGGATCTGACACCCTTACACACAGACATACATGTATGCAAAAACACCAATGTATATATAATAAAAATAAATAATTTTTTAAAAAAGTAAAGGGATTGGGCATTTAGCTCAGTGGTAGAGCTCTTACCTAGCAAGCCCAGGGCCCTGGGTTCGGTCCTCAGCTTCGGGGGTTGGGGGAGAGGAGGAGTAGGTTCAGTTTCCAGCACTCACATGGTGGCTCAGAACTGTTTGTAACTCCAGTTCCAGGGAACTGGGCACCAGGCATTTGGGCAAAACTCCCATATACGTAAAATAATAATTTTTTTCAGTATTTAAAATTAAAAGTCCACCAAGTTTTTCAACTGGGTATTCCTATAAATAAAACTTAGTTACATGTTTATTATTCCAAGAGAGAAGAATCAGGCACAGATCAAAGCAAAACCAGAGTTCGACAGTGTAAATATAAATAGTTTAGTCTGACACCTGGGATTTGACTCAGGATCTTTGGGGCTCCAGAGAACTTTGCACATTTTGACTTTTCCGGCTCTGCTATCTGCACATACAAGGACTCAAGCCAGCTCTGCTTCACACCTGCATCTGTCTTGTTATCTCTCAATCCTGGCCACTCCAATATGCTGGGGTCTTGACTGTAACTAAGGCTACGTCTTCATCAGTGTCCCTCCTGGGTTCTCTTCAGGGATCTTTAACCTGCCTCATCAGCGTCTCTGTGACCTCTTGACTCCTCAGGGTCCGTCCATGCTGTCATTATCTCGAGTACTTTCACATATTACCAAGTTCCGCTGTCAGTTAAGATAGCCTTGACACCTCTGAATCTCAGCTTCTGTGTGCTGACCCTGAGGAAATACTTCACAGATTTCTTTTCTTGTTTGTATTTTGGAGGCAATGTTTCTCTTTATAGCCCTGGCTGTCCTGGAACTCTCTGTAGACCAAGCTGGGCTCGACATCAGAGATCCACTCGCCTCTGCCTCTCAAGTGCCCCAAAGGTGTGCACCACATACTTTGCAGATTTCATCTCGGTGATGCTGCTCTCTTGTTAATCACAGCCAATTTGTTAGCCCCAGCTGACAAGAAGCTACAGATTGAAATATGTCAACACGACACGAGAATGGCACTGTCGGTCTTTGCTTCCCTCTGAAACTTTACAAGTCAGGCTTCTGTCAGTTGCATTTTTTCCTCACGCTTTATCTTAAATTTAAAGTCCATCATAAGGGAGTTGGGGCAGGAACCTAAAGGCAGAAACTGAAGGTACTTGCTTAGTTGCTTCCCATTTATGTCTGTCTTCTGTAACCCAAGACCACCTGCCCCTGGTACCACCCACATTGGGCTGAGCCTTCCTACATTATTAAGCAACCAAGGAAATGCCCCACAGGCTTGCCTACATAGGCCAGATCTGATGGAGGATGTTTACCAATTTTGTTTTTTTGTTTTTTTTAAATCTTTTCATAGAAAAGCACCACATAACACAATTAAACCACCCGAAAGTCTAAAGCACTCAATGAAAACTTACTATTGAATGGAAATGAGGACATGACTGCTCTAAGGTGTGGTTGAGGAGAGGTTTTTATTGTAGATATGAGGAGAGTGTAGCCAGAGGCATCTGGAATACTCCAGAGCAGGGAGAGAGTAGTAGACTGAACATGGCCAGCAGAATGGACCGGACCACGGGGTTGGAAGGGAGCAAGAGGGCATGTGGCCAAAATGGCAAGGTTATATAGTAGTGAACCTGGTAGGGGGTGGAGTGTGGAAGCCCATGAGGTAGAGTTTAGGGTGGGGTCACAGGTACCCAGGTGCTGAGAGTCTGAGGTCTGCCGACATTTTAGTATGTACCATTTGTCCAGAGTTTTCTTTTGGACCTGACAAGTTGAAATGTAAAATTTGAAATAGTTGCTTATCCATTATACATTCAGAGAACTTTGGGTTGACTTTTTCATTTTATGGGTGGGTTTTTTTTTTTTTTTTTTTGGTTTTTTTTTTTTTTTTTTTTTTTTTTTTGAGAGAGAGAGAGGTCTCTTTTTTTAATTAAGATTTATTATGTATTATTTATTATTATTTAATTAAGATTTATTATGTATACAGTGTCTGCCTGCACTCCAGAAGAGGGCACCAGATCTCATTATAGATGGTTGTGAGCCACCATGTGGTTGCTGTGAATTGAACTCGGGACCTCTGGAAGAACAGCCAGTGCTCTTAACCTCTGAGGCATCTCTCCAGCCCCGAGACAAGGTCTCTTTATTTAGAGAGACCTGGCCGTGCTGGAACTTGCTAAATCAGTGGTTCTCAATCTTCCTAATGCTGTGACTCATTTCTTTTTCTTTTCGTTTTTTTTTTTGTTGGTTTGTTTTGAGATGGCATCTCTGTAGTCCTGAAGCTCTCAATGTAGATCAGGCTGGCCTTGAACTCACAGAGACCATTTGCCTCTGCCTCCTGAGTGCTGGGATCAAAGAAGTGCACCACCACACCCATATCTGACTCATTTTTTTTTTTTTTT